TTGGATGCTGTCATCCTGCCGTCATTTCCCAGCAACCTTAGCTTCTTAGCCCCATCTGCTTCCTCTAATGACTCCCATCTCTAGGAAAGTGTTCAGGATACCCTTCCTTCCTTCCTTCCTTCCTTCCTTCCTTCCTTCCTTCCTTCCTTCCTTCCTTCCTTCCTTCCTTTCTTCCTGTCAGAAACACCCACTACCCTCCACTTGGTTGGCTTTTTCTCATCCTTCCCCACTCAGCTCAAAAAAAGAGCCTTGTCAGAAAGCTTCTTTTGCTCCCCAGTGTAAGACAAGGCTGCCTCCTGTGATCTGCCTTTTTAAAATTACTGTATCAGTTTTGATAGCAAGCAGCCCCTCTAAGCTGGTCACATTAGATGGGATAGGAAAGGAGTGGCTGGCTGGAGGCCTCTGGGCTCTCAGGAGCTCCAAGGCTTTCAGAGATACTGCCTCATGTGAGCACAAAACCCAGTAGGTAAAGCCTCTGGAGTGAGCTTTGGAGCCTTAGGACTCAGGGCCTTCAATAGCTATGATAATTCAGCGTCTTTTCAAGACTTTTCTCTCTGACATTTCTCCCCCAGAATGACACTTCTGCTGAGTCATAAGGAAACATATGTCCAAAGGGGCTTGACCTATTCAAAAGCTTGATCAGAAACAGTTGAGCTTCTCATGAATCCCAGTTGAAGGCTTCTGGATAGATAACAGCAAATGTCACCACCTGTCCCAGTCTGACCCACCCTGCCTCTTCCTGTCTGTTTGCTGGCCTTTCCATTGTCCCAGAATTCTCTGCTGTGCAGATACAAGCTGTTAATTAAACTAGAACTACATGTGAGGCTCTTGATTCAAATCTTAGAAGGAAAAAAAAAAGAAACAAAAGAAAAGAAAACAGGTCCAAAGTTTCTTGAGCTTTTCCTTGCCCCTCCTCTACCAGGCCTGTGAGTCCTCCCTCTAGAACTCCAGGAGGGCTTTGGTAAGGGTACCCAACAGAGCTGACACCAAGGATGGGGTGTCATGTAATGGGTCCTAAGCAGAAACTCTTAAGTCCTTACTGATGTTGTGGGTTCTGAGAGAAAGAGAGAGAGAGAGAGAGACAGAGAGAGAGACAGAGACATACAGAGCAAACTGAGGGTTTTCTTGTTTGTGGATGCCCGGGAACTGTGGGTAAATTTGCTAATGATGATGATATATTCCATATTTTGGTAAAAAAAAAACACTCTAGAATTAGTAGAAGGAAGCAGGAGATGAGAATGGAAGTAACTGCCTTGAAAGTCTGAAAAGAGAAGTTCTTCTCCCAAGCAGTTCCCCACTGGTTTGTATCCTGCTAACAGAAGGAAAATGATGCCACTGGTGGAGTAGAGCAGCTTATAACCAGTTTCCAGGGTTTCCCGTAATCTGATTTGGTACCAACCCTGGGAAGATAAACAGTACAGTCCTTGCTTCTTAGATGAGGAAACAGGCATAGAACAGCATGTAAGTAATTATTTTTGATTGCTTTTTGTTTCTTTGCTTTTTCTTCAGGAGCAGGAAACAAAAGCCAGGGTCTAAACTGCTAGCCGAGGTTTTCCCACAAATTGGTTTATCTGCTCCAGCTCCATTGGCCTGGTTGGCTCCAAAGACACATTTTTTTTCTGTCTCAACTTTTTAGTACTGGGGTTCACTATATTGGGGACTGATTCTTACAACACCAATAACATTTAAATGAGAGATATGTAAATAAAAACGTTTGTTTTTTAAAACAAAACTCTTTTATTGTGTGTTTGTGTGAGTTGCAGTACCGAGATAATGTAGTAAGAAAGAGAAAACATTCTCTGTCTGTGACACGGTCAATTTCAGGAAAGGGACAAGGACGGTCTTCAGCATAGAGTTCTACACAACCGCTACCAGGCTGTGTGTCCAGCTCCTATTTACAGCCGTCCCCGGAGTGTTCTTGCCCTCCGAACATGAGCTTGCCTATCTGGTACTGAAGCAGATGGATCCTCCTACCTATGGCAGGCAGGGAAGAAGGCAGGTTGATGACCTTGGGCAAGAGACTTTGTGTCCACTCCCATAGGGGATGATGTCAGTCCTGGGCACACTTCTTAAAGCAGCAGCTGATCATTGGCTGCCAACTATTTAGTTCTGGGAAAGATTTTATTTTTCTCCCAGAACTTTTTTGGAATTATTTCCAGGAATTAATAATATGCTAAGCACTTAAGCCCATCCTGTTTACAGAGGCAGTTTCATTTAGTTTTAACTCGAGTTTCAGAATTTCCCACCGAGACCTATAATAATAGCTGAAACTTATAAAGGACGACTTTTAGGAAACCCATTCACACCACAAGGTGGGAAGCAGAGTGAAAGAAGAAGACACCAGTTTCCTGACCCCCATGCCTATTTCTTTCCAAAATCCTTACATGGATTCAATATGGAAGCCCTTATCATGTGAATAGAGAGTGCTGGTCTGTGTGGCTCAGGGCTGTGTTGCCATAGAGTGCTGCCTGGGGCTCCTCTTTAGGCAGCTCTAAAGGAGAGCCTGCTCTCCACTCTTCCCATCAGCTGCTTTGCCATGGTAGTTAGCGGCCCATGAGGATCCAATTAGAGGTGGATAAACAGCAGGAAGAGAAGAAGATATTCCTCATTGCTGAGTGAACTCAAGGGATGCTCATCACAAGTTCAGCTCTTCTCTACGGGTACAGCACATAGGCAGACATGTAGACAGAAGTGAGTTTTGTTGCCTCTTATGCCCATAGGAAGTTCCTATTCATCTTTCAGAGCCCTAACTTGGATGTTCTATGCTCTATCTTTTTTAAAATTGGTTCTTTGGGAATTTCACATCACATTCGCCAATCCCACTCCTCTCCCAGTCCCTCTGAATCCACCTCTACCTCTTGTAGTGCCCACTCAATAAAGTTAAGAAAGAAAACAATAAGATAAAACCAACCAAACAAAACACTCTGCTCCTCCATCTTTCTGCCTCTCATTCACCTCTTCATTTATCTCAGTGGCACGGGGAGCTTCTGTGCACCATACAGTCTACCTCTTGTCCAATGGTTCCACTTGGAAATGTTCATTGTGCAGTGAGCTGTTGGCCGGGTTCAAGGCCTCTCGCTTCCAGGATACCATCAACGCTGGAGCCTTACCCAAATTCCTCCGAGGTAGCCTACTGTTGTGCCAAGTCATGGAGATCCTGCAGCTATGGCTCCCCAGGACTAGATCCTTCACACACTCCAGCAGGTTATAGATGGGGTATATTTTGGGGTGTGTCAACTCAAAGCCCTGGGTGTGTGCCTGGGTGGCAGTTGAGTTAGTTGGTTGGGCTCAGGTGAGGAGCTCTCCTAGGCCTGTAGTGAAGGGTAGGGCAAGCTTTCCTGTTCTGGGGTCATCAGCATCAATTATGTTTTCCGAGGGCTGAGGAGGTTCAGGCTCAGCTCTCCTGTGTGTGTGTGTGTTGTGGGGGGAGCAAATAGGGGACAGGTCACTCCCAGTCAATGAGGGGTAGGGACAGCTCAGGAGTGCTCTCCTACTTCAACACATGGTTTGCAAGGGCCCCTGTGGTAACACAAGCAATCGACATTCTCACAGACCCTAGCTACTTCAGGACCCAGGACAGTCGTGGTAATCAGTGGCAGTTTAAGTTTGAATGTCTCCATGGCTTTGAGTGAGAGCACAGACTTCTCAGATCTGGCTGGGCCCAGTAGCAGCATGGTCCCCGGGCTCTAACCTGACCGATGTCGCAGTTCAGAACCTAGGCAGTTGCACGGTCCCAGGTGGCAACCAGTGCCACAGACCTCAACATAGACTCTGGCAGGCTGTGGCAGGACCAGAGATCCAGAAATGGCTTCCAGCCACAGTTTGGGCCCAGGCGTAAATATGGCCCCAGGTGTCAGTGCAGGACACTCTGATCTATGTGATCCCTGTGGCAGCATAATCCTCAGGCCCCAAGATGGCATCAGGTGTTGGTCCAGACACTGGGCATCTGCATTGCCTTAGGCGGTAACTAGAGCCTCAGACATCAATGCAGACCCTGGCTGTGGTTGGGCCATCGACCCAGACAGAAGCAGTTCAGGCCAATGGTATCATGGCCATAGATAGCAGTGTGGGCCACTGAGTTTAGCATGGTTTCATCAGCAACACGTCCCTCAGACTCCAACATGGCTACAGAGTGGTAGCTCAGAGGCTGGGGGTTCTTCTAGCTTTGGGTGGCAATGTGGGCCATGGACGTAGCCAGGTTACAGTAGAACCATGGTCCTTGGCGGCATCCTGGGTTTGGACGTCAACAAGGCCCCAGGTGGCTGCACAGGCTACTCAGATTGTCATTGTTCTGGCTGCAAGATGGCCCTTGGACTACAGCTTGAGCCCAGGTTGTGGCCTAGATTTTGGTCATACGATCAGCCTTTCATGGTACAAGGGGCCATGGATATCAACACAGACTACAGCTGCAGCAGAACAATGGATTCATATATGGCCCCAGTTTGCAGTTGAGGCCCTGGTGTCACCATAATTCTGGATATCATCATGGCTCTGGGTTGTGCCCAGGGTACTCAGATCTGTAAGGCAGCTGCATGACCTTTGGATACCAACATGGCCTCAGGTTTCAGTTCGGATCCTGGGTTTCTGCACTGCCTTCAATGGTAGCAGGAGCTAAAAATATTAACACAGTCCCCGCCTGTGGTAGGACCATGGACCTCGATGTGGCCTTTGACTGAATCCCAGGCTGGACACCTCTATGGCCCTGGATGGCAGCACAGTCTATCTCATTTCATCTGTTCTCACTCCTTAGACAGATTACATTTCTACTTCACTTGGTCATTTACTTGCTACTTACTTAACTGAATTCTTCATGCAGCCAGTACTAAATGAGTACCCATTAACTGCAAACCATGGTAACAGAACATTTGTGGCTAGGGCTTTGTTCTGTTTTATTTTCACATCATTTTGGATCTTTTCCAGTTTTAGAAGGACCATTCAATTTCTACACCATTTCAAACCTGAGCCCTGGCTCCATCACCCTGTGTTTCTCCCGACAATAGCTTCTGTGACCTGACTGAGGATGGCCAAATGGAACCCTGCAATGAGAGTGACCACTCACTAGCTGAATTCACACGTCGGAAGCAGCAGAGGCCTCAAGGTAAGATGGTGGGAGGTGGTGACTGAGCTGCGATGAATGGCCCCAGAGCTGAGTCTTTCCGGATTGGTAGGTGTGAGCAGAAAGCACATGGCTGACACACAGTACCCACTTGGTCTGGCTGGAAGGGCGTTAGTGAGCTGCTCTTCAGTTCCACATGCAGGTGGCGGGGTGAGGAGAAAAGGGCAAATCCTTACCAAAAAAAAAAAAAAAAAAAAAAAAAAAAAAGGAAGCGGCCATCTCAGCCCTAAGGGCATCTTGGCATGATGCCAGTAGATTTGACCTATAAGCAGCATTGGGCCATCTTGACAGTGATCATTCTGTACCACAAACTACAGAGATTCCTTAGATTAGTGGTTTTCAACCTATGGCTTGAGACCCCTTCTGGGGGCCAAATCACAGGGACCGCATATTATATATCCTCCATGCCAGATATTTACATTATGATTCATAACTGTACCAAAATTGCAGTTGTGAAATAGCTACAAGGATAATTTTATCATGGGGGGGGGGCGGTCACCACTGCATGAAGAACTGTATTAAAGGGTTGTAGCATTAGGAAGGTTGAGAACCACTGGGCTAGACAGATGGAGAGGGTGGGCAAACCATCAGGGTTTTTGAGCTCAAGTACCAAGAACAGAAGCAGGTGGAGAAAAGCCTTCCAAAACAGGAGGACGGTATGGGAACATGAACTCCCACTTTTTGGCATGCAAAGTTCCTGCAACTTTTCTCTTGTTCATAGCAAAGCACAGTGGCTCTTACTGGGTTAGGACCCTTAAGTTCATGGCAAGGGGAGGGCTTGATTCGGGGACATCAGGGGATAGCCAATCTGTGGATACTCCAGTCAGTCAAATGGCACGGTATTAGCGTATAATCTACCCACATCTTTCCATATACTTTAACTAATCTCATGATTATTTAGACTCCCCAAGGCAGTCTGAAGGCAATAACAATGGCCGTCACAGTATAGTGTTTAGGTAATAATGATAAGAAGTCCATATGTATTCAGTACAGATGCAACTTTTGAAATATTTACATCTGTTGCTGGTTAAATCTGTGGTGTTCCGAATCCGAGGATGTGGCCATCACTGCTATGGATGGCTGAATATATTTAATCTTCCTAGGCTTTTAGTTTCTACATCTGCATAATGAGTTTCTTGATAGCTGTGGGAGTTTAGAAACAATGCATACAAAACAGTTTGCACAGTGCCCGGCAAGGAGGAGCCGTGGCTAACGAAAATGTAGTTATCATAAATTTAGGGAGAGTATAGTGCCTTTTCTGGAACTGAGTAATGGAGCCCATTGCAGGTATCAGAGCAGTGAAATCCCAGGGTTTCAGCTGCATGAGAGTCTGTTCTAGTATATGCAATCATCCGCTGCGGGGTGGGAGGTCTCAGGGTGATTTTCTCCCATATGCTGCCTCAGAGGCCCACGTTACTCCCATCTGTTCTGCCATCCGCTGGGATCTTAGAGTCGGCAGCCGGCAGAGGAAAGAGTGAAGATGCCCTGCATCCAGAAAGTACTGAGTTGGATGTGTGCCCACAAAGATGAGAACCAGTTGCATGGCCACTCTAGGAGATGGATGAGGGGCAGATAGATGGGTGGGATTCTTTCATGGTGACTGAATGGGAGCCCTTTCCTTGAAGCAAGTGCAGAGGGTTGAAGGAGGTAAACACGTCTGGTGGGCTGTTGGCAGGCTCTGCTCCAGTGTTCTCTGGAACTGAGCTCATGTAGCCAGGCTGGTCCTCCGGATGGACGTGTGGAGGTGCTAACCAGGGCAGCAGAGCCTGGCTGCTAGAAGCCTACTCAATGGTCCAGCTGCACCATTGTCATTCAGGAGCCGGTTATAAACCCACCATTCCAGACCCAGGAGGCCTGACGTGAAGAATCTCTGTGCAGATTCTGATTGTGGAGGGCTGAAATAGACCTGGAATTTTCTGTAGCATGCAGCAGCTTCTCCAGCTGTTTGGATGGTGCTGGTCCACAAACCACACTTTAAACAGGAAGCATGAAAAGATTCCGTTAAAAACTCAATTTTTCCCTGAATGACATTAGACATTAGATTCTGCAGTATGTATGAGGAGCTGGTGTGGGGTCCTTGTTTTTGTTTCCTTCATTTACCTGGCAAGGGTGGACGGCATTTCATTTGGAAGAGGATCCCTCCCAAGCTTTCCTTTCATCTGGGGAAGGCTGGACTCTGGAGATCATCCACAGAAGCCTGCAGATATGTCTTCCCTGACAGCAGGTGGCTGAGCACACTTTTCACATTTCCGGACTCGGTCCAGCTGAGATTCACATGCAGCTGTCTGCGGTGGGCAATGCTAACAAAGCCTGTACTGTATTAACATAGGAGTGCACATAGAAACTCATCCCAGTCTATCTTCTCAGCCCCCCTTCCCCACTGTGCTTCCAATGTATGGCAGTTCCAAGCAACAGCATGCTGATGTTCCTGGCTTTTCACAGATGATTCTCTCAGCTTCTGTGAAGCACACACATTTTCAGAAAACAAAACAAAATACGCCTTGACTCTGGAACAGTGCTCCCCCACCCCGTGAAATATACTGAGACATGTTCTCATCCTCGTTAACAAGCTGACCGCACAGCATTCACAGAAGTTAAAGGGCGGGGATGAGGGACTGTGCATTTAAAACACACTGAGACCTTTTTCTGGAGTTGGAGCCCTACCATGCCTTAATTTTCTATACCTTTTTGGTAAGAAGAGGAGTGGACCCAATTTGGCTGAAATTTGCTAGTTGCTCTTCTTTGATCTCTTCTGTCTTCATCACCTTTGCTTTGAACCTGTTTGAAAGCTTGAGGACTCCACTCTTGTCTGTGTGCCCTGGCACTACAGTTGAAGAAGGCGAGGGTTATATGAAGCATGAGCAAAAAGTGCAGGCAGAGTTTAAACCCAAACAGAAATTCACTGATGCTCACAACTTCCCCAGCTTCTTTGCAATGCCCGGAGAAATGAGGACCAATCAGTTGACATTACTCTGAGCGAGGTAACAGTCCATAGTTGGCAGACCTATGAGAGAGTCAAGGAGAAGTCGAATACGGCAGCTGGGAGGACAGACTCAGGGGGAGCCCATTTCTGCAGTACTACTGCTTCAGCTGGTAGTTCAGAGCCTCAGCTTCCTTGACAGAAAAGCATGGGTCACAGTAGCACTGTTGCCATGGGCATAATTCAAGGAATAAAGAGACCTGAACGGGAGAGTTTTAATATAATGCCAGATGCAAAATTAGTGTTGGTCAGTATTGAACATTACTGATAATGTTAATACGATTGACTCAAGACCATTTTGGCTGGCTGGATAGACAGCAGTCAACTCAGGTCACATGCATTGGTTAGGGTCCTTGCAAAATTGGGAGGAGCAGTCTGCATGCGCAGCAAAGCATTGAGCTCCTCCTCTTCTCGCCTCCCCAGGTGCCACAGCCATCCTCACACCTGCTTCTCATGCCAGATCTTTGACAAGCTACTGCTCCTGAGTAGTGTCCTAGGTTTACTTCCCAGTGTCAGGTCCAATGTGACTACCTCCTGTGTGAGCCCTACACCCTTGTATCCACCGGGTTTAATTCCAGATCAATGAAAAGGCATCTGCTTAGTTCAGTTAGCCAATGAGCAGACCCTTTTGGTTTGGGATCCTTTGACTGGTTCTGGATGAGGATTACCCTAGGTTGTAGGAATTAGCCATGGCCGGAAGAGCTAAGGGCGAGGCAAGCAATGAAGTATCTGCAACAAGGATATAGGCTCTTACTTTCCAGTGTGTTTCTGAATCTTTTGTTTCTGTCGTACCATCTCCGATTCATTCTTCAATTGGGCACAAGTAATTAATCATGCTGTTAAGGGATAAGGACTTGAGATAGTGTCTGGATTGATGAAAACTAGTTCCCAGAAACGGTAGATCTCTGAAAACAAGATATGTTTGGCCCCTTGCTAGAGTGGCTGCACCTTAAGCCTTAATCAACCTCTTAGGGACTTTTGACTTCTCACTGCTGTCTAGGCAGACCTTGATAGGCGTTTCTTTGTATTTGTCTGTCTCTCCTGCCTTTAGAAATAATTGCTGCTATTTTTCATTAAAGAAGAATTTTCTTGGAGAAAATTACTTTCTCAACCTTTTGCCTTTTCATGGCCTAAAAGTTACTGCAAGTTCTGTGGCCAGGGCTTTATAGTTTTGTTTCTGGATCTAATTCTGTGATCGAACTTGGATGGCAGGACATCAGAGAACACACCGGGGAAGTTAGCTGGTGTCTCCAAAATCCAGGGCTGGCTGATTGAGAAGTCCTGGTTCTCGTTTAAGGAGAGGAACCAATCACTCATCTATGTTGGATCTTAAAATGGGGTTTCTTAGTTCTTTCCACAGTAGGACACTAGGATATTATAAAATGATTATAAAAATCCAGGTCTTCAGGATTCTGCTCTTTCAGGACATTGAAATCTCCCAGTCATTTGTTTAGCTTGTTTCACACGGTGGTCAAGGGACTGGATTTTTCAGTCTGGGAAGATTGCAAATCCTGTAGTTGCTAATTCTGCTTCTTGGGTTAGCACTGCATCTTCTGTGTGTCTTATTTTTCTTCCTTGAGGCAGCAGAGTGGCAAAAGGCCTTTGGTAATTGGTATCATGCATATGGCACATACTCAAGGTATAGCTCCTGCCTGGCATGAAGGAAGAAGTCAGCCATGAACTACTCTGTTTTTCTGAGTAGTGTTGACTACTTGGAATGAGTACCAACCCAATGAGTTTGCACTGCTGTTAAGGATTGTCTGCTAAGAATCAATCCATTTGTCTTCATGTAACATACATATAGTTTTCATGCGTAGGGATGCAATTTTGTTCACACTTATGGAAACCTGATGTTGATGTGTGTGTGTGTGTTTCTACATTGCGAATCTGGTAAGGAGAAACACATACACACATAGTCACATCTATTTCATTCATTCTCACATCTGTGGCTTTGAGTGTGAGATGGTGCCTGCCGTCTATCCTCCTGTCCCCCCTTCATCCT